CACGGACCACATGCGGCCCGCGGGCAGCGGGTTGTACATCCCTGCGGAAAGAAGTAATTTCTGAATGCCCTTCCAATACCTAGGGAAAATAAAAATCTGCCCTCACTGTCTGGTTCTGGTTTCTTCCTTTTCCTTTCTACTGTCTCCTCTCCATAGAATGAATATGAATTCCTCTTCACAGCCCTAGCACATCCCAGGGCGAAAGGAGAACTTTCCCATTCTAGGGGCCAGAATTAAGTAGGATCGGTGCTGGAACTTACTGTAATCCCCTTTCTGACCACCAGTCATTCCTAGGAGCATTCCAGTCATTTCTAGGGGTTGTTGGTACGATTTTGCCGTTGTGGCACATTGGAATAATGATTGATCGATTGAGCGAGAAAAATATCTACTGGCGAAGCCACGACCTGTCTCCTCGAGAACAACGCAGGGAAAATTGGACTGCATGATCCTTGCAGATGGTTCCCAGACTTCAATATGAACAAGTCATATTATGATATTCCGAAAGGATAGACGCGACCTCCGATGGCCAGAATTGCCCATTCCACGGTCCGGATGCTAGTACGACTTCTCCCCGGAATATGATTAAGCGCGAGTTACCCACAAGCAACTAAGTTGGGCGAAGCCATAGACATGAATTGTGCCAGCCTACATTGGTTGTGTGAATCTTCTATGAGGATCAGACTTTCCTTCTTTCTCCTTTCATACCCGACTGCATAGATTAAGATCGTTATATCAGATTTCCTCTTCTGTCCATGAACAAGTGTTGAAAAGCCCCCATAAGAGGCGCCTCGCGCCAGGTGACGCCAGTTTCTTCTCTGCACTTGTTTGAAAACCGTTGGACCAATCAATCCTTATTGCATTCTTTATTGAATAATCGTTTTCAAAGTTGAATGTACTCGTATGTGCTGACATGTAAAGAGAACATTTTTGGAACTCGCTGGAAAAAGGGCAAGAAAAGTACTTCGAAAAATACGGAGTTTTGAAAAGCTCTTTGATGCTTTGTAAAACTTGTTCTCGTCCCTTCACGGTGTGCCCAATTCATTTTCTGTGCGAGAACACCATCAGGGGACATCTGAATTATAGAGCTGCAATGCATTTGCCCAAAATATCAGATTGTGCTCAAACAATGAGATAGAGTAACTAGGACGAAGTGGAGGATTTCAACATGAAAGGTGTTCCCCTCACGCCAGGTTAGTTTACGGCCTTTCCTTGTGTTAAATGTTTGAAAATAAATTTCAGTCCTCAGAATCAGAACAGATCCAAGAGAGTACATTTAAGATTTTGAGGTATCGGTTTACTCGACATTTCAATGTCTTCCGTCCGCTAAAATCAATGAGAATAAGTGCCCCCTTTCCACAACTTGTTCGTAGATCTTATCGAAATGGGTGCCTGGAAATTGTTGGTCCCGAACACGTTTCTACCTTGGAAATTATCTCCATGTTTTCTCTATTGTTCTACAAGTGTGAAAAACCGTTTAATTTCCTTAGATACTTTTACAGACCACTTTGAATATTTGTAGGCAGATTTGCAGTCGGCAGCGAGGCACATTCTGTCCATTTTCAGACGCATTAAACCAAGCCCTCCCGTTACAGCACGAGTAGTGGCAGCGCCACATCTGGTGTCAGAAACAGTCCCTAATGGAACTCCTTTATGGGGGGAGTCTATCGGGAGTTGTACGACCAGTCTATTTACGATAGGGAAATGTACGACTAGTTTATTCATAGACCATGCCTATCCCCACGGGACAATCATCCCCCCTCTCCCTCCTCTCCATCCAGTCTCCATTTCCCAACTGTCGCCATCCCTCTTCTTCCACGGATACCTTCGACTTCACCTTTCCTGACAGTATCAATCTTCTTTGAAATGAGGACATGGACGACGCCATCCCGCCCTGGCTGACTCTCTGGCTTGCTCATAATACTTGGAGCTCCACCTTTTTCAAGATTCAAAAGCTCAATCAGCCAATAAACGGCGACTCCGGCGGAGCAAGAACCTTCCTTCAGTGTCCAGTGCCACTTCCTGAATTCTTTTATTGTGCCTTCGTCGCAAGTTTCGAGCAATGGTCTCCATGCTGAAGAGCTTTATTGTGGCCACATTCCACTCCCTTTTTGATGCTTTCTCTCTCCCTTTTAGACACTTCTCCCCATTCCTCATCCAGCGCCATTCCTAATGTAATTTTACATTTTTATTGGGACAACCGGGATAGGATCTGAGAGTACGGAGTCACCAAAGCGTCATCCTCATCCCACTCACACTAAAAATAATTATAATGGAAACTGTTCAGGCCACAGTGCCTCTGTCACGTTCGTCACGATGGAATTGCCATCCAATTTTTTTGACATCGCATATCCCAGTTCTTCTCGGATATCAATGAGAAGTTCCATTTTTGTTCATAGCCCAATTTTTCAATTTGGATGACCTCATTAACCACACCCATGAAAAGGGATTTAATCCCTGACCAGAATGTCAAATAAAATTCTATAGCAGTAGTCAGCAACTGAATTTCAAGGGGGGGGGGGGATGAACGCTTGTTTCCGCGAAATATGTGTCCCTCCTTCTCAGAAACGAATGCGAAACGTGCGCTTCGCATTTGCTTCCGCGGCTGAGGGGCACCAGGCTCAACAGCATCATGTTCAAGTTTTTTGCGACGCTTCATGTTTGAGATCGTCTATGTTAGAATATTCAAATCAAGTATTAGGCCCCAACTTGCTTTTTACTCACGTATCAGTACTTGAAAACCTCTGACTTCTCGAGGCTCTAATGACATGGACGGATGAGACCGACCCGGGATGAGAGAGATCACCGGAATGAGTTGAAGCCTTTCGGAAGATAGCAGGATGAGGGGAAGTGGAGATGCTGAAAAGGGACCGAAGGACATTTTTCTCGTCGTATTTCATCTCCTTTGCCTGCAAGTCCGGATTAACGGGGAAGAATGGCCCCGGGGATCGGAAAACTCGCCCAGGGAAACTACGGAATAATGATGTCCGGACGGAGATACGTTGTAAATGCAGAGCGGGATATGTTCATTCCAGATTGACGGCAGTACGAGAACGAGAGGAAATCAATTTATGTTGTGTAAAACCCAGGCATGGCTCAAAATGCGACAAGATTTCTTTACTTGCAAGGTGGTGGACATGGTGGTGACATGTGTGTTTTGCACAATGCCAAAGAAAACAAGATGGGTAAACCCAGTCCAGTAGTGGGCCTCCTTTCATTTAAGGAGACCCGCATTTTGTCACCTAATCGAACAAAATGCCCCGGCCATCAAAAACATAATTTTTCAGTTACGTTTGAAAATCTACCGATGGTGATGAAATAAAGATGGGAGGATGGAGGGTTGTGCGTGCTTGGAACCGTCCGCCACGAAGGTTGGTAAAGAACTGACAGCTCTGGTTGCTGACATACTGTGTTGTGCTGTGTACGCATGCGCATACGGCCCGTGGGTAGTACGCACATGCGCATTGTGATCCAGATCCTGAAAGGCTCACGGGTATTCATGCCTTCCCCTCCGCGACCAAATTTCAAATCCAAAATTTGCAATAAAAATGCCGATTTTGGTGCAAATTCGGCACGAAACGAACTCAGCCCGTATCTTGTTAATATCTGCCTGCTTGCCAATTTTGCATTGGTCTGGCCAATATTTTCCTAGTTATCGTCGGACAAAGTGTGACACTCGGACACACAGACGGACGGAACGGGACCATAAGTAGTATTTTTCCTTTCAGGAAAGGAGGCCCACTAAAAAGCAACAAAAGACAGGAAACTTCCATAAACGGCGTCATGAGGATATTCATGGCACTGTGTGGCACCACGTTTGAAATTCTGTTAAGAGGCCATTCCAATCGTCTCATTTGTAAGCGCTTCATACATCTAGGGCGATAAGAGCAGCGGGTTTAATTTTTTTCTTTAATTCTCTGTGGTTCTCTTCGAGGGGAGGACCTTTCTTCTGCCTCTTAGTGCGTCTGTCGTTGCAAGCGACTCCCTGTGCTTCAGGCTTTGCCTGTTCCTCTTTCCCTTCAAGGAAGAGATATTGGAGAAAATGGAAACGAAGATGGTCATGGAGTGGTCATCTACGACGTCGGAGCCATCTGGCGCTTCTTCAGAATTCGTCTCCACCTCAACCAAAAAGACAGTGTCACATATCACAGCCGTTATTCCTGTTCCTGACGGTGTCGACAGTATCAATGGGGGGGGGGAGGAGAGGGGGGTGTAGAAAAACATTGCGTCTTAACCCTTTAAGTGCAGTTGACGTGCACCACACGTCGATGGAGTAGTTCGTGAGTTTGGAGATTTTCTTATTCGAAGTTTGGCAATCGCATGGCACATGAGGCATCAAGTGATAATCAAGAGACCAACGATCAACGAACGTTTGCCACTCGCGATGCAAAGTCGCCACCAGAGGCATCGCACTTAAACGGTTTAGGAGGTTCTTCTAAAGAGTCTCCTAAGTGTTCTATCTGTTTCTTAAGGTTTTTTTTTTTCAAGAGCCTTTCCCTTAATTGCTACAGTAACTAGATTACTTTCAGTGAGACATTCGAGAAGACTTGCCCTCATTCCCTACTCGATATTAGGACTATTTGTGACGTTCGCTTCGTTTTGAGAAGTGCGAAGCTCGAAACTGGCCACGTAACTATCATAACTGAGGCGAAAACGCTCACCTCCCCCTGCCCTCACAAGCCAATCTGAGTTGATACTGGGATGCCAAAGATCTCTTAATCTCAAAATAATATAAATAATCGCATCGATTGAACGCATTCTGGGACGTGCGAAACTTTATTTTTAGCACCCCTTCATTCCTTCATTCATCACACCTAGTGAAGATTCATAGAATCGATCGCGGAATCACGACGTGGGGAGCCTCTCTCCATCGATCAAACGACAGCGGACTCCTTCAGCAACCACCTGAATCGTCCATGCCACTCGTGTGTGATTTCAGTGGTGCCTTTCGGTGGAAGCACCGAGTCCGTTCCGTGTGAGACTCCACCGGTTTCAACATGATGATGCTGGAGGAGGTGGACGGGGTGAGGGAAGGAGACAGGAAGGAAATGGAGCGCAGGCTGCGTCGCATGCACGACGATCGCCGCTCCTACATTCACACCGCTCGCCTTCAACTCCGAGCTCAAGCGTCTGTTTCCATTCTTTACAATAATCCCATTGCTCATTAATAACTAGATATTAAACTAGTTCAACCAAGGCCAGTAAATATCTCGGAGAAAAGAGCACACGCAAAGTTTCTGTCTGCTCCCAAACACATATTCCGAATCGGAGTCTAAATATTTTTTCTTTCTCCTGCTAGATAACTCATCCCTTGATTCATTTTGTTAACGTCAGCCTCTTCTCAATATGAGAGGTGAAAACCAAAGTGAAAACCAACCAAGCTTTTTGGCAGTGTCACTGCATTCAACACGACAGACGCTCAACTAACGTTTCAATCTCAACTGTTCATATTTTGTTAACATTTAAGAGTAGCTAAAGATTCAATTTTTGTCGATGCAGGGGCATTTTCAAATCACTCAAGTATGTCATAAAGTGCTTCCATGGCGTATTTAGGCAACCAAGCTTGAAGTCAGCTGATTTCTCTGTAATGTCGGGAGTTCTTTCCCGAATTTGAGTCCTACTAGGTCTGGCATGCTCCAGTGGTTTAAATCCACTAGAAAACTTTCTCCGAGGACTGCTATGCATTATATATCCAGGGTAGGGAATGCTTTACATGTGTCATGGATGTCACCGGAGCATTTATCTACAGAGGTGCCTTTCACGCCTTGGAACTTGTTAAGGGAATACAGGGATATTTAAGTGAAACTCTTTCGGATGCGATTCACACATCCTGAATCTTTAGAGGGCAGTGGCAGTTCCGTCATCTTAGTATAGTTTATCAGGCTTTACCACATGCGGTATAGAAACATGATAGCCTCACCGAAATGTTGCGACGAAATACCCGAATTAAAGATCCCTAGAAGCGTAACTGCAAATTCGCTTCTCAATTTGTGCTTTGCAAGAATTCTTTAAAATCACCTCCAATTGACTAATAGAATTTCCGCGAACTAAGGGTCTGGAACTTCAATCGTGCTCAGGGAAATTCAGAATGGAAAGAACGTTATTACAGAATAATATGCCTTTCTGAAAGAAAAAAACATGCTGGCTATCGTTACAGCATTTACATTTGTAACCCCCAAGATGTCCATAACTTACGAATGCATGCGTCGCCGAGGAGGGCGATACAGGAACGTTGGGGGGTACACAATTTCCATGCTTGGCTTCTAAGTTTTCAGCTATATCGCGGAAATATACAAATGTCTCGATGACCTACCACGTAACTCGTATTCGAGTGCTATACTGTTTGCAAGGATTTACTTGTCTCCGAAGCGATATGAAGGTTGCAGAATGTTGCCCAATGTTGCTTCATTATTCGAATTTTGCTCTGTGCTGATAGGGCGGCCGTGGAGCGACTCCGGGAAGAAAAGCGCTCGCTGGACACGTCTTTGGCACGACTCACCACCTCGGAGCACCAGATTCGAAAGGCTGCCCTGCAGCAGAGGATGGCCGAACTCATGGAAGACTACCAATTCTCCATCGATCAAAACAGGGCACACAGGCTCAGGGTAAGCTCTTTTTGATTCGTGTATTGACAAAAAAAATGGGGAAGATGGCAAGATAGGTAAAAGTAACCCTAGGAAATGAAGGACCTAGAGGATTCAACAGTCGAGAAAATGAAGGCATTTAAGGTTTCAGATCCGTTCGGGTGAACCGATAAAGGGGTCGGTACGTTCCTACGTACCGGTAGGACTTCGATTGACGGTGGAGTCTTTTCTCCATTCTAGGTGGAGCAGGTGAAGAAGGAACGAAGGAGGAAACAGGAGGAACTTAAAAACCTGCGGGCTCGTTTTGGCGGAGAGGCCATCATCGTGAGGAAGAAGGACGTCTTAAAGAAGAGAGTCGCCGTCTTGGAGGACCGCCAGGAGCACGTATGTTTTCTACATCCTCGTGTCCCTACAGCTCTACGTAGGCACGAATACATGTGCGATCTCTCCCAGTGGGGGAAAGGACCGAGCAAAGGTCACCTTGTCGATTTGCAGTATTGTCGGGGACCCAATCCCAACTAGAAATCACTGACAGCGTTCGGTTCCGCTAAGAATTATATTCGAAAGCAGCTTTTCACGCGAGGAAGTACCTAACGACTGGAGACTAGCAAACGTCGTACCGATCTTTAAGTAGGGCGAAAAGAGTAATCCAGGAAATTACAGACCGGTAAGTCTCACGAGTATCCCAGGGAAGATCCCCCCCCGC